CCCACCCCCCCGCCCCACACTGGACGAACAGGGGCAGTGCCTGTGTCGCCTGTCCGAGCTCTGTGTGTCTTGCTGGGACCCAGAGGGTCAGCCTGTGCGTGTTTAGTGGGTTTTGTTTCCAGTACATTGGGTCTGAGCGTTTCTTCAAGCAAAGGAGACCTCGGCATTCCAGGCTACTGCAGAGGATGGGGGAATAAAACTTCCTCTCCTCTCTTCAGCCCTCATCAGGAAGGCGTCTCTCCCAAGCTGCCACCCTGGAGGCACCGTACCTGCTCAGGGTCCTCTTGGGACAGGGCATGAGTCTGTGTGTTAGCGGTGCTGGCCCCGGGGCCTATGGGCCTGACGACCCACACCCTGCCCTGGCTTCCTTCTCCGGGAACTGTGAGCCTCTGGAATGCAGGCCTGGCCAGGCTTTGGGAGGGGCTTCCTTTGTGCCCCAGGCACATTCCTCAGACTTAAAGGGACACTGCCTCTTTCAGGAGCCCTGGATGGTGTCCCCTGAGACAGACAGTGGTTTCGTGGGCTCAGAAACCAGCCGAGTGTCACCCCTCACCCAGACCCCCGAGCACCGGCTCTCCCACAGCAGGTATCCTGGACCTCACCACTGTCCCTGCAGTGTCACATGCCTGGGAATCAAAGTGCCTGTGATGCTCCAGTCCAGGGGTCAATGGTCTGGGCATTCACTGGCCCTCACTTCACCCTGGCCAGGGTGAATTCCCCCATTATATTGATAGGGCAGAGCAGAGGTCAAAGAAGGAAAGTGAACCACAAACTGTCACTTAGCACATTAGCAACAAACTGGGAAATTCACATTTGCTGAGCAGAGGAATGAGCGATTAGGCAGATGAATAAAACTCCAGGGATGGGAACGTGAGGCACAGAGAAGCCACACACAGAGAGCACTGAGGGTGGCTCCGTGGGCAGACTAGGCTGGGACCCTGGGGGAAGGGGAGGCCAGGTGAGATGCCGGGAGGGTGGAGTGATGGGGCCACCCTGTGGACCGGAGTCCGCCAAAAGGGGGGTGCAGGCACCCCAGTGTGCAGGAAGAAAGAATAAGAAATCCTCTTTGCTTTCCAAAGAGCAAATTGAGCTTTATTGTTCCCCATACATGAGTTTCCAGGCCTGCGGCCACACCGTGTATACAGGATGAGGATGTCACACGGTTGTGTCCTCAGAGATGGTGTCGGGCCCCAACACCAAGATCCAAGGCCTCTGTGTGTGATCACAACTCTCTCCCTTGTCCCCAGCACTCCAGGAACGTTAGCTCAGCATGTCGCTGCATCTGTGCCCCACAGTGGAGACTCCCACCCCAAGGCCAGGGGTCCCCTGGTCTCCAGGAGAGAGGCTGAGCTCAGCACCCCCAGGCACCGAGCCCCTCGGAACCTCTCCAGCACAAGTGCTGCCCCCCGCCACAGGACACCCGGCTCCCACCTGGAGCGGGCGGTGGCGGTGGCAATGGGTGAGTGGGGGTGCTGGGCTGGCTGGGACCAGGGTCACCCAGGACCTGGCCCAACTGGACTGCAGGGATGGAAGAATCTAGAAATGGGAAACCTGGCATTACTCTTTAGGGTACAAAATACTATATAGGCTGACGCAGGCAAATTTGAAATCACAGATAGGGTGGACCAAAGGTAAGAAAAGAAAAGAAAAAACAACCTGAGAAAAATTTTCCACAACACTAGCAGTGTGTGCTTATTTACATATACATAAAACAGAAATGAATGGCCCGTATTCTGTGTGAATGTTTGGCAGCCTCCTCTTTTCATCACACGTCCTATGAACACGTTCCATCTCCGTAAAATCTATCTGTGGTTTGGTTTTTTACCTTTAGAAAATGTACAGGAACTTTTTCCTGAAATAAAACAAAAATACAGAAGAGCACATAAATCCGTGAATTTTCACAGAGTGAACCCAGGCCAAGAAACCCAGCGAGATAGAACCCCAGAACTCTACATAGCAGAGCCCCTGCTGTTCCTGCTCCCCAAAACAGAGCGCCTCAAGTTAGCTTTGCCTCTTTTTAAGATCCAGCATTTAAAAACGACTTTTAACTGAACTGTTTGAGACAACTGTAGATTTACATACAGCTGTGAAAGGTGACAAATACACGGAGAACCCAAGTGCCTCTCTCATTTCCCCCAGAGATAATATCTTCCAAAACTGTAGGAGAGTGTCAGAGCCAGCTGCTGACATTCAGTTAAAACACAGACACTTCGGAGGGTCCCTCAGCTTTTTCCTGGCCACACCCTACAGCCGCCAGCAATTGCTCATCTCATCTCCATTTCTATTATTTTGTTGTTTTAAGAACCAGCCGGGTGTGGTGGCACAGGCCTATAATCTCAGCACTGGAGAGGCGGAGGCAGGAGGATCGCTGTGAGTTCAAGGCCAGCCTGAACTACATAATGAGACTCTGTCTCAAAAAACAAACAAACAAAAAATGCCAGGAATGGTGGCGAATGCCTGTAATCCCAGCACTCAGAAGGCTGAGGCAAAGAAGTTCACTATGAGTTTGAGGCCAGCCTGGGCTTTGTCTCAAAAAAAAGAAATATATTAACGGAATCACAGAGTGCGTATCTTTTTGGGATCAGCTTTGTAGTCTGTGTAATTTCTAGAGGTTCACCCTGATCCTGCTGTGTATCAGGAGTTTGTCCCTCACAGCCCATTGTTGCTGTGCCGGGCCCAGGGTGGTGGCTGGGCCTCTGGCCCGTCCCTCTGGGAGGTCAGTGAGTGTCTCTCACTGTCCTGGGAACCACACACCTAAAGGTGTGGTGGATTTCTGAAGCCAGCCCCAGGATGACACTTTGAGATGGAACCAAGTCTGGGTGCCAGGTGAAGGAGCAAGGAACTCTTTGTGACAGGAATGGGAGGAATGGGGTCCTGAAGACTTGGATCTGTGGTGTAACAGGGATGGGGGTGTCCGAGAAGCAGCTCGGCGCCCCACACTCCTGCACAAAGAACTTCTGGTTTTGAGATCAGCAGGTCATTGGCCTGGTCAGGACCTGCCCTCGGGACCGCACCTGAGCACCATCCTCTCAGCCCACCATCACCCTGCCCCATGGGTCGAAGCCTTGAGGGTCCTTTCCGCTTCAGCTCATATTGGCCTCTCTCTGCCTCACTAGGGGTCCCTGGCTCGGAGTTCAAGGGCCGAAAGCGGATTCCTGAACAGGTCCTCCCCAGCAGGACAATCAACCCCGAGCCCACTCCGGCCCCTGAAGCTGCCCCACCACCCCCTGGACCAGCAGAAACCACCCCCAACATCCTCCTCACCAGAACAGAGCGAGAGTAAGTTGGAGAGTTCAAACCAGCAGGACAGGGGAGGAGGCTGGGCTGGGAGGAGGCCCCGCCCAGCTCACTCATTGGGAGACCCAGGTGTCCCGCCTCCTGCACTGGACACTTCTCCAGCCAATAGGAAATGGCCTAGAGGTGCTGAGACCTCCCCCACCTGCAACATTTCCCTTTGAAAGAGATACGCACTGCCAGGATCTGTTTTCTACAGTTGGTTCTTTCACTGTATTTGTAACTAAGAACGTGTCTCTCTGTGTGTTCGTGTGTGTGTGCATGTGCATGTGCATGTGTGTGTTTCTTACCTCAAGCTTCCTTCTCTCCTCTTTCTTCTCCTTTTTCCCCTCTCCTGCTCTCTTCTCCAGTTCCACGGGAATGGGGCTACAGATGGGTCAGCTCCGTGCCTTCTCAGCATGGCCTATCAGCTCCCTGGGGAAGCTATTTGTGGGACCATATTTGAGGCCACCTTACCCTGTGTGGTCACATTGCCATGTGAAGTTGTGGCCAGCAGTAGGTATTTGGTGGACTGGTCCGAGCAGCCTCCTCAGCATCAGTGAGGGCATATTCACCTATGTATGTCAGGCCTTGGGAGCAAGACGGGACAAGACACTGTCCTGGGCCTTGGGAGCCTCACCATCTTGTAGGATGGATGAAGCAGCAGCCAGTGCACCCCGGCATGATAAGCAGAGCTCTGGCAGAGGCCTCAGGGCTGTGGGAACACAGGGATGGAGGCTTCAGGGAGAAGGAAGTGGTATCTCAGCAGAGACCAAAGGAGGAGAGCTAAGAGAGTGCCTGGCAGTGGCAACAGCATGTGCAAAGCCCTGGGAGTGAGAGAGTGCCTGTCACCACCAAAGAGCCAGATGTTCATGACAGCTGGATCTTTGAGTATGAGGTGGGGGTGCTGAGCAGTAATGCAGGGAATCAGCCAGGGGAGACTTATAGGACCTTGAATGCTACAGTGTGCAGCTTAGAACAGCAGCTTGATACAGAGAAGCATTTATTGAATGTCCTATGAGTGTGGGTCTCCTCCCAAGCATGGTACAGGGTTTTAGAGGGTTGAGTGTGTTTTAGAAAGAACTTCCTTGCTGCTTCAGCAGGAGCACAAAGCTGAGGAAGTGCCAAGAGAGGCCAAGGAACAGTGGGAGGAGTGGTGCCCCCCCCAAGAAGCTAGTTTGCCCCAGAAGTGTCCAGGGAGCAGAAGGACCTAGAAGGACTGCAACTCCCAGCCAGGCAGCCAGCTGGGTGTTCATGGCTTGGGCAGAGTGGAGGAGCGAGTTTGAGGGGAAAGATGAATGTCAGTGTGAGCTGGAGCTCAGGGACCAAACAGTTGAAGTCAGGAAGACTGGGAAACAGCTCAGAGAGGGGCAGTGATGCCTGCTTGCCAGGCCGAGTGGGTATCCCAAGTCCCAGGCTGGCAGCCAGGGCTCTGGCTCTCAGGGGTTAACGAGTGCCTGGAGCACCCACTGTCCTGCAGCCACCGCCCGCACCGCCCATGTGCCCTGGAAGCCCCAACAAGCGTCACCCTGGGGATTGCCAGGGAAACCAACTCCTACTGCACACATGCCCTGCGACAGTGCCAGAGCCAGGTCTCCGTGCCTTCTGTATACTCATCGGACAGCCCATGTATGCTGGAGGTGGCACCAGGCAAGAACTAACCCTGAGGGGAGCCCCGGAAGGAAGCCACTGTGGAGGGGATTCAGAGCCCACTGTGTCCCAAAGTATGGCCGCGCCATGGGAGGCCATCTTCCCACCCATGGTCTGGGTGGGATTGTCCTCCACAGTGCCAACAGGGCCCACAGGGTGACCCCAGCAATGCAGGGACTGAGCAGAGAGAAACACGATCAGCACTGCTCCCCAGGTCTAGCAGCTTCATGCTAGAGGTTGGGCTAAGTTTGGGGGTCTCCCAGGGTCACAGCAGCACCCTGCATGCCCCTGCCTGCTCAGGCCCATCCTGCTGGAAGCATCTGTGCTCCATGCACACCCTTTACCTGTCTGCTCCCTCTGAGAGCCTGGGGCCAGTTCGGTAATGCTTCTAGGACCTGTGAGGTATAAGGGTCTCGCAACAGGAGATGGGGAAGCCTGGTCCTGCCTGCCAGTGGCTCAGGGCTGGGGAGATGGATAGATGAGTGTCTTCTCCCAGGAGCGGAGAGCTGACCAACAGGAAGGGCTTTGGGGGAGGCCAGGAAGGAGTAGCTAAGCAAAGGAGAGAGGAGCCAGGCCCAGCCACATCATTAGGGTTTCCTGGGAGAGCAGCAGAGAGGGAAGGTAGCCCAAAGCTGGGGCAGTCAGGATGGAGGGTTTCAAGGGGACCATCAGCCAGGGCACCCTCGTCTGCCTCTTGGGAATTTGCCATGGTGTTTCCTGGGTGTTGGGAAGGCGAACTTCAAAGGAAGGTTCTGAAGCTTTCAGGGAATGCACACACACTGAACTCAGGTGTCAAGACGCGTAGCAAGAAGCGTGGATGAACAGCAGAGTTCTAGAATCCTTGCACGGCAGAGGTACAGCCTGAGCCTGCTGCAAAGTGGCAAAGGCCTCTGCGCCTGGGAAGCACTCGGGACTCTGCAGCTCTTTTCCTTACGTATCTGCTCTGTGCTTCCATCCCACCCCCCACCCCAGCCAGGCCATCCGCGAGCTGCAAGCAGAGGTGTCCCGGCTCCATCTGCGGCTAGAGGACAGCCTGCAACAGCCTCCCCAGGGCAGCCCAATGCGCCCAGCATCTGCCTTTGACCGCCCTGCCAGGACCCGGGACCGACCCATCAATTCTTCAGCCACCCAGGGCTCCCACAGTAGCAGGTGGGTAACCTATGTGTCCTGGGGGCAGCTGTAGAAAAATAGACTGTCCAGCCCCTGGCTCCCTGGGACCCCCAGGGCTCAACCATTGCCACTGCACTCTGTCACAAATTCACTCAATCATCTATTCACTCTGTCTTTTTTTTACTGTGTAGTATTTGATGCATACCAGAACATCTAAAGTCACACGGTAGTAATAAAGCGTTAGACAAAGAATATTCCCAAATCCCTCTCCTAACTGAAGCGCGAGACCTTCAGGTTGCTCACACACTTGGTCAGCAGCCATTGATTTGTGAGGATGACTTGTAAAGTCAGCTCACTTCTGAGTGTTTCCACAGAGGGCCCTAGGTTAAGACTTTTCTGGATATTATCCCGTAGTCCTCTGAAGTCCTTGCTTTTATCACCCCCATTTGCCCGATGAGGAAACTGAAGATCAGAGAGGCCCAGAGCCATTACCCATGAGACTGACTTGAGTCTGCTTTGACCTCTACATGCCCTTCCTCCTGTTTTGCCACAAGCATTTCTCCAGGTTGGTCTTTTCGTGGCTCATCTGGAGGCTGCACAGACCCTCATCCAGTGACACTATCTCTCTTCCCTATTGTTAGTAAATCCACAGAGAGGTTGTCTGGGGAGCCTGAAGGTACAGAGCGAGCTTGGGCTGCAGGAAGACGCACCCGGTCCTTCTCCATGCCTCAGGGGGTCCCCCGACTGTCCTTGAGTAAGTGACTGCCAGCCGGGACTGATTCCAGGTTGAAAGGGCATGCTAGCTCTGAGGGGTCAGGGATCCCAGAGCAGCACTGCAGGAGATTGGAGGGTGTTGGTGGTATGTTGGGAGCCACTGGAGTACAGACAGGACGCACTTGTAGTAGTAGCCACCATGTGTCTCACACCTGCTGTCTGCAGGCTTTGTGCATGTGCCTCTCTGGCCCCCTACTACACGGTGGGCTGTGCTGTCCACCACCTGAAGATGAGGACACTGAGCCCACAGAGCACTTGCCTGACAGGCTGTGGCACTTGAGTCCTGCAGGTTGACTCCAGCTCTGCTCACTGTCCTGGGTTGGGCTGTCCCCGCACTGAGAAGTTAGGTTGCTAATCACATAGTAGTAGTGGGGTCCGCCTCCTAGATTATGAGAAGAAGGTGCATGATGCGTCCATGCTAGCCTGGCTGAGTCAGGATTCCGGAGGTATGGGCTGTATTCCCAGGAGGCAAATCTACAATAAGAACCCAGATTTCGTCCTAGAGCCCAAACTTGCTACAGGCTCATGCCCCGAGCTGTGTGACCTGCACTCCACCCACTCGAAAGTCCTTCTCTTTCCACCCCAGGTTCAGAATCTGAGCCACCCTCCCTACAGCTGCCCTCTGGGAAGGTCAGGAGCACTGAGGATGGTGCCCAGGCAGCTCACAACAGCACAAGAGGAACAAGTGGTACCAGACAGCCGGACAGGGTCTCCTTCCAGGGCCAGTACACAGGTGGGCCAGGAGGGGGCTGGCATGGGTGCAGCCCCCAGGGGTCTCCTCTGCCATGACTCACCTCTCCCATGTGCCCAGTGGGCCGTTCAGACCTGGTGTTCCATGACAGGAGGACTGTCAGGGCAGGGCTCCATGTATCTGGGCACCTGCAGTCTTCATTCATTGATAGGCAAATAAATACTCTCCCCTCTGCCAAACATGGCTCTGGGAAAACCTAACCCATTTGCTCAGCCAATCAGTCACATGAACTCACTCTGCCACACCTCGGTGAATACTTAATGTTGCACCCTTTGCACCTGCCTGAGCCTCAGGTTCCAGTTCCCAGTAGCTAACATTTTTATGACCTGCCACCTCGCCTTACCTGAGTATGGCCTGCAGTGACACGTAGTGGCACTTTGAAGTGCTTAACATTTAAAAAGAGTATGTACTTGGTGAACCTGACAGCCTGGCAGAGGCAATAACAATAAGTAATGACAGTAAGTGCAGTGTGGCTGTCACTAGTGCCCCACTGAGCAAAGAGGGCCATTGTCCACACAGCTCCACATCCCTGCATGCTAAGAATGAGACATGCTGGGAATGAGGCACACTGGGAATGAGGCTTGTCTGGAATGTGTCATGAGGGAGATGACAGAGACCAAGTAGTCACAATGAGGGCAGCCAGCATCCCAGGGCTCCAGAGCCACATACAGCACAAAGTATGACCACCCAGCACAGGACCAGTACAGGAGGGAGAAAGGTCAGGAATCTTCTTGTAGTGGCTCCAGGTAACCTTTAGGTCTTTGAGACTTGAGGGTGGGGGAAGCAAGAGGTGGTAAGGGTCCAAGAGGCTGCCCAGCTTTCTGGTGGCATCAAGAGTTTTCCATCTGCCAGGCCCAGGATGGTGACCTCACAGATATGGCCCCATTCGGTCCTTCCTGCTAGCCTGGGAGTCCAGTGCCATGATGTCCCCACTTTCACAGCCACCCAGGGAGTAAACAAACCCATGGACCCCTGGCCTGAGTCACTCAGATCCACATCAGTGCATCAGGGTCTGGAAGAGTGTCCCTCTTTGTCATGGCTTCTGTTTTGAATCCTGGCTGGGCTGGTTGTGTTGATTGCTACTGTACTGGCAAAAACTCAGCAGCTGCTTCTAGGAGCAGAGTCTGGAGAAGGCTCGAAATAAACAATCCATGTGTTTTATATATGTGTGTGTGTACACACTCACACATATGTGGGTACAGGCACAGTGTATGTGTGCACATGAGAGACAGACAGGGAGTAGCTGTTAAGGGAGGAAGAGGGATGTGACTGGTTCTGTGTCTGCTCAGGGGGCTAATGCTGATGGCTCTTGTTTCTCCCCCAGGCCAGGAGTACCACGTGCTGCCCCCCAAGGCCATCCTGAGAGGCAGTGGCTCAGCCTCCTGTGCCCACTGCCAGCCTGTTAGGACCCAGGACACAGGTAAGGGATGGAGCATAGGACGACTGAGCTATGGCCACTGTGTCGGGGGTGTACAGCGGGGCAGCATGGGCCTGCCCTGCCCAGGGGGTGGGAGGCACAGACAAAGGGAATGAGCTTTAGTGAGCTCAGCTGGCCCAGTCCGGCACCATCTGGAGCTGCTCTCTATCATTTAAGGACTTCCTGTGTTCCTGGCAGGTAGGTGGGTGGGCAGCTGGGCAGCTGGCAATGGTGACAGTGTCTCATCTTCCTTCCATCCTCCTCCACGCCTTGTCCTTCCCCCAGAACCCAACAGTGACAAGTGGTGGGAGAGCAGTGGCCTAAGAATCCAGGCCCTGTGTTCTGGTCTCACTTCTGCCACTGACTTGCTGGGTGATCTTGGGCCAGTTCTTGACTTCTCTGAGCCTCGGGTTCTACATCCAAATTGGTAAGGTTGGAGATGGTCTCTGAGGCTTTTTTCAAGCAACAATGATGATAATAATGGAGCTGCAATTTATTAAGCTCTTACTGTATATAGGAAATCATGTTAAGCATTTTATCTACATTAATCCTCACATTTTTATGAAGTGTTACTATTATGTCCATTTTATAACTGAGGCTTGGAGAGATTAAATACAAGTGGGAGAGGCAAGATCTGAATCCAGATCTTTATACTTCAGAGCCCTGATGCTTCACCACCATGTCACTGTACATTCATTCATCTTTACACATGATTCCTTTTGGGCCAAAATTTAACTTTTTAACATTTTTATATTCTGCCTTTGCTCTGGTTCTTACTATAAATCTGGCTAAAAGAAGCCAACAGTACCCATGCCACAGGCTAAATGTTGAGCTGTCATGACATTTCCTCCACCAGATTAATTAGTCTACTACCCTTAATCATAGTCTCCTGCAAATTCTCAGAACATGAACAAAATGTGGACAACTCTTCTGCCAGAGCATAACACACATGGCCAGTAGTCCAACTGCCAATGGAGTCCTGAAACCTCATGAGTCTGGCCTTTACTGTCCTCATTCCTATCAGCATTCTGTTCTGAGCTCTAACCAAAATCTCTAATCAAGTTATGTAGCTCTGGCCAGAATCTCTTATCAAGTTATGTTTAAAGCATTCTAGGGTTTTTCTAACCTCCATCTCCAAATCTTTTCAAATTCTCCCCACAAACCAGTTCCAAAGGCTTCTGAACTACATAGTCAGGTATAGTCATAGCAATGACCCCACTTCTCTGGTACTTATTTTCTGTATTAGTCACCTTTCCCATTGCTGAGACACAATTCCCATTACTCACAACTTAAAGGAGGAAAGATTTAATTTGGCTCGAAGTTTTTGGAGATTCCATCCATGGGCAGCTGGCTCCAAGGCAGAAACATCATGGTGAAGTGCTCAGTGGATGAAAGCTGCTCACCTCATGGCAGCCAAGAAGCAGAAAGAGAAGGGAGGAGCCAGGGAGGGAGACACACCCTCCAAAAGCACAGCCCCAGGAATACTCCTCTTCCAACCAGGCCCCACCTGCTAACAGCACATTTAACTATAAACTGAACAATGAGTCAGCTCACCAGTGAGTATAGCAACCCCATGATTCAATCACCTTCCAGAAGCCCCACCTCTGAGAACATGAGACTCTCAGGGGACATTCTAGATCTAAACCATAACACTCTGGAACCTTAGTTTCTCCACCTTAGAATAGGGAGTGAGCATAGCAGCCAGCCTAGTGGCCAGTGGGATTTGATAAAATAATGCACAAAGGCCCTCAGTAGAGGGCCAGCTCATGCCATCTTTCACCATCATAGCTGCCATCAATATTGTCCCCTGACTGGAAGGAGACAGCAATGCCCTTTGCCATAGCTCCCAAGGAAATCTCAGTGCTGAGAGGGTCTCCAGAGTGCTCAGGTCTGACACTGCAGATGGAATCCTCTTTCACCTCTCTTCCAGGAGCTGCTGCCAGTGACCCACTTCGACGGCTGGCCACTGATACCCTCCCATGTCCCCTGTGTGGCCAAGCAGGAGCCTCTCCAGAGGAGGATGGCCCAAGCTCAGCCACCTCTGGTAGGCACAAGTGTGTGTGGGGGTCTGCTTTCAGCTAAACCCCAGGTTGGCTTGGGAGCCTGGTGAGTCCAGCTGGGGTGTGGCAGATGGGCAGAGGGGTTACCACCCCAGAGAGTGGGTGCTGGGGGACCCACCATTCTCTGCTGCACCTCCCCACATGGTCAGACCATGTCTCTGTGCTGTCCTCCTCCTGGCAGGGGCAGACAAGGCAGCCACACGGAGAGATGCACCTCTGGCCTCCAGCCCCAGGCAAAGGAGCAAGCGGGCAGGCTCCCTGGCACGGCCACCCCCCGGACTGTGGTACCTGGCAGCTGCACCCCCAACACCAGCTCCTCCGGCCTTTGCCTATGTCTCCTCAGTGCCCATCACGCCTTATCCTGTGGCCTCCGTGTAAGTCTTCCCTTCCACCTACTCTGCCTCTGTGTCTGACTCCTAGAAACACTAGCTTTCTGTGCTCTGTGATTTAGCCTGCGTGGGAAATGTGCAGCCCAAGCCTGACACTCTTACAGTCACTCAGCAAACCCCGAGTGCTCTCTGTAGCAGGGAGAGTGCTCCACCCTGAGGAACCCACAGTGAAGGAGAATGGCAAGAGGGCCCGCCCCCTGGGAGCTTATATCTTCCCGGGGTGGGGGCGACCTAGAACCCTAACCTCCTCCATTTCCTCATGGCAAGCCTGTAATCTGAACCCCCTTCTTTTATAATAGACTTTCTTTTTTGGAGCAGTTTGGATTTAGGGAACTTGAGTAGAATACGGAGAGCTCCCATAAGCAACACCTTCCCCAACAGTCACCCCTGTTACTAACGTCTTGCATCCGCATGGTACATGTGCCACCGTTATCAAACCAACATCAATACATTATTGGGTTTGTCGAGTGACTGCAAGAATGTCAGGCTTATGCTGCCCATTACCCACGAAGTCCATAGTTATTCCAGGGTCCTCAGTTTGTATCTGAAGTCCTTTCTATTCCAAGTCCCTTCCTGGGTCCCCCTACATTTCGTCACCCCCCATAGGCTCCTTCCAGCTGTGGCAGTGGCTCAGACTGGCCTCATCTCCCATGAACCTGACAGGTTGTTGTCACACTGGCCAGGTGTGCCGCGGTACGAGCACCCACTGAAGCAGAGCTGAGAGCATCAAGGGAGAACGGTGCAGGCTTAGAGTCAGAGGGCTGCTCTGGGGTCCTATCTGCCCTTCCTTGGCCTCTCACAAAGATGGCTAGAAACCATAGTACCTCTAATGCGGCTAGAATCTGGACTACCGGTGCACCCAGCTTCCTGCCCAGGTCAGCAGTCGGAGCATGCTCAGTGGTCTGGCCCGCGTGTGGTTTAGAACGCTCACTGGCCTGTGCTGCCACCTGCAGGCCAGCCATTGTATGGCCCCGCAGCAGAGTCTGTGTAGCCCAAAGGGATTTTTTTTTTTTTTTGAACCTTCAGCCCTAGGGGGAATTTAGGGGCTGTTCAGGCCAAGCTGGTCAGAAAAAAAAGAAGCCAGTTCTTTCAGCCTAGAGCTGTTCATCAGCATGGGCTGCTTACTAATCAGTGTTTGTTCCAGATGGTGGGAGTCCGGTCTGGGTGTGAATCCACTGCTGCCCCTCTCAGCTGTGACCCAGTTACAGAGCACTTACCATGGTCTGTCAGCACAGGGCTTCTCATCTGAATTTGCCCATTCACTCTATCTGGGAGGGAGCTGAATAGGGAGACTTGAAACGTGCTGTATCTCGTCCAGGGGCCCCTGGCTGGACAAGCACAATAACCAGGATTTGGGGTGGCTTCTAGGGCCTGAGCTGCTCCGGCCAATGCCTCATGCTGTCTGCAGACTCACGCAGCTCCCCCTAGTTTCATGCTCCTCTGTAAAATGAGGTTGTGGTGTCAACTGGCACATAGGCAGCAGCTGGTCTGTGGGTACTGAAGACGGGGAACCCAGGCCAGGTGCTATGTAGCTGTTGGAGGTCAGCCCAAGCCTTTCCCACAGTGGCAGCCATGGACGTCTTTCCAGTAGTGCATGAGGGTTCTGATTGCTGCACATCCTAGCTAGCACTTGCTGCTGTTTTTTTTGTTTCCATCCTGATGCATGTGAAGTGTGTGATGTGATCCCACGTGGCTTTGATGGGTATTTTCCTAATGGCTCATGGTGTAGCCCATCTGTCCATGGGCATGAGGGCCATTTGCCCTTCTTTGGAGAAATGACTGTGGAGGTCCTAGCCCCGGCCCCTTGCACACCATACAGTAAGGCAAGTTAGAAGCGGGCCCTGGGAAAATGGCTGCACCTTGAGACCATAATGGTAAGAGGTAAATGAGACACATGAGCTTAAATGTCCACAGTTTCCCTTATGTGAAAAACCCAAAGTACAAATAAAGAACAAAATAAAACACAGATAATAGAAATAGGTGATATAGATCTTTTGCATATGGGAAGGGGGCCAAGTGACAGAGGGAGTGAGGAGAGAGGGAAGGGGAAAAAGATAAAAGAAAAAGAATGAAGATGTATTGTGTGTACTTGTACCAACTCCTCATGGGGAATGTGATCATTGTGTGCAATAAGATATACTAATAAGAAAGAGGGGAGCCAGGGATACAGCTAGAATCAACAGCATGCCAAGGGAGATGCCAAGGACAATTCTGGCAGACTCAAACTCATTCCTGCTTTATTTAGGTCAAATGCATCTGCATTCCCCTCTCTCCCAACGACACACACACACACACACACATACACACACACACACACACACACACACACACATACACACACACACACCCCTAATAGAAGCCACAGCCAGTTACCATGAGCCTCAAACTTAGTGGCCCTGACGAATGCAGCAATCACTTTTTGGGGGGATCTGTGCATTATCTTAGGGCTCATCAGCCATTTCCCCCAGCCCTTAAAAATACTACTACTCATCCCAGCAGGACCAGGTCAGGAGGGACTCCCATCACCCACCCCTCTGGATGAGTGGGACCAGCCCTTCTGCTCCAGTATAACCCTAATTGTTCCTATCATATTTCCCAGCACCCCGTGGTTGGCAAATGGGACCTCCATATGTTACCTCTCCACCAAAGCCTACAGCTCTGCTCTCGCCAAATCTGGTTTTAGGATTAGAAGCTCCTAAAGGCAGCAAAAATTAGTGCTTGCTCATTCCATGACAGCTCCAGAGCCGGCACGGAATAGATGCTCAATAAATTGTGGCTAAGGGAACGAGTGGTTTGAACTGCCCATCCCAAACCTATTCCAGGCCAGGCACTCATGTTTGTTCTCTTCTGTCCTCCTCCCAGCACATCCATCTACATATGCTTGTTATTCCCATCGTATAGGGATAGAAACTGAGACCCAGAGGGTAGGGACCAGTAGCCAAGCTGGGACTTAGAAGGGGAGGACTCCAAGCCCAGTGGTTCTCAGCGTTACCCAGGCAGCTCAGGGCTAATGAGCACGCTTGCTTTCCTCCTAGGTACTATGCACCCCCAGCACCTACCTCAGCCCCCCAGGCCTCCTTGCGGCCATCCCGAGGACACCGGCACTCCATCCAGCTGGACCTAGACGACCTGGAAGAGCTGCACCGGGCCCTGAGCCAGGCCGTGCAGGCCGCTGAGAGCGTGTGCTCCACCACCCGGAAGATGCGCCGCTCACTGTCGGCCGACCTGCGCCAGGCCCACAGCGTGCGGGGCTCCTGCCTCTTCTGACTCTTTGGAGGCTCCAGACAGAGGGAGACCAGGACCCTGCAGCTCCATCCTAGGAGGGTCCCCCACCTGCTCAGATTAGTATGCTCCCAATAGAGGGGTGTCAGCCATCACCAAGAGGAGCAACTTCCCGGGGCACCAGGCCGACCCAGAGGTGCTGGGACCAAGGCCACGTCTGTCCACATGGAGCCTCTGGGACTGTCCTCCCCGGCCCCGCCCTTGTGCATTCTCACCAGTACTGACTATTTTATATACAGATGCACAGAACTTCTGTGCTGGGGAACTGTCCTGTCTTGGCTCTTCCTCAGAAGGCCAGAGAAGACAGGAAAGGCCAGGGGCTCTGGACCAAACCTGTCCCCCTCCTGTGGCCAGCCGCTCTGGGCATACGTCTCTAGGACGGGCCTGGCCAGAGACCTTGCTCCTAGTGACTGGTGGGCAGAGAGGCATTTGGGGACAAGTGGGACCTCTTAGGAGGTGATGCCAAAGGGTGACACCTGCCCAGTCCCACATGGTTGCCTGGGCCTTTCCCGTGGGCCTGCTGGGACAGAGGCCACCCACAGAGGGCCCACGAAGCCGTCCTCCACCATCCCTCTCAGTACCCCACCTCGCAGCCTGGGCTCCCCTCCGGGCCTCAGTGGCACTGGATTGGTGACCAGCTACCTCTCTGGGCCACCAGGCCAGCCACCCCACCCCCACCCCCTAGCAGCGCATACCTCAGCATTCCGGAAATGTGTGTGCATCGCAGATGTTTGTATATGTGAGGCATTGAAAATCTATTTTCGTTACGAGAGCAAAGGAAGAATCATAAAAAACAAAAAGTTCCCAAAGGCGCCTGCATGTGTGTCCTACGTAGTGGACTCGTGGTTTCTGGGTCAGGCTGGTGGGCAGGGAGGGTCTGGGCCCCAGGCAAGCCTTCCCCACTGACCTGCTGCCTGGCCTGCTCTGTTTCCCCAGCTTCGCCCTCTGCTCTGGAAAGGTCAGGGTTAGCCCTTTGTGCTGAGGCCAGAGATGTTAGACACACAGTCCACTCAGGGGCACTGCTTCCCGGAGTGACGAGACTGTGGACCGTGAGCCCCTGCTGGGGAGGAGGCGGCCCCTCCCCGCTGGACTGCAGCTCTGTCTGGACCAAGTGGACCATTCGGGTGTGGCTCCATCCCCCCACCCCTGCCCCAAGCTCCAAACACACTTGCAAGGGAGATGTCAGCTGGTTTCCAGAGCCTGCCTCATCCCAAGTGTCACTGTCTCCTGGCTCTCTTGGGTGGGCACCCTGAGGACACCTCCACAGAGACCCCCTGGGCCAACCGAGTCTTTATCCCCCATCCCATCCCCTACCCCGCCCCTCCCCGGCACAGCAGCAGCCTCTTACAGGATGCCTGGGTGGCCTCCACACGGGCCTTCCTGCCTCCAGCCCGGGCCTCACAACCTGCCTGCCCAAGACAGGGTCCTCCCCACCCCTTCTCCTACTCAGGTTCCCGCCTCAGCTTCCCTAGATATGTCCACTCGGGTGTTCAGCCTGTGGCACATGCGGCGGCTGTCTCCCTGTCCCTTCTAGGTGGCTCAGAGCCACCCAGGGTCCCATCCCCAGCAAGGCTGTTCCTGCCCACGCTGTCCTCCAGCCAGACCCAGTCTGGGCCCCACACAGGAACAAATGAGTGAGTAGCTGGTGACCTGACTGTGTCCAACTGGTCCTTTATTGATGCAGAGACAAAACAGAGGCACAGAGGGTGGGAGGGAGTGAGACAGCCTCGGGTCCCCAAGGTGCTGCCCAGCGCGGTCTTCCTAGGGTTCCTCCTTTCCCTTTGTCTTCTCTTGCTGCTGCAGCGGACACTTGTTCTAAGGGAAGCAGGGAGAGTCAGCAGAATGGGACAGGGTAGGGTCCCAGATCTCCCCTGCTGTTGCCTCTGCTGGATCACTCCAGACCACCCTGAGGCGGCAGGGAACCTGTCCCAGGTCTCCCAGGCGGGCGCTGGGTCTGGGGCAGAAGGCCAGGGCCAGGGCCAGACATATTCCTGAGCCCTTTCCCGGGCCTGGGGACACCAGCTCAGGTGGGGACAGTGGAGATGGTTCACTTTAATAATCAAGACAGCACAGCATGTCCGTCAAAGCAAGGGTCACCGCTCACCAGCTCTGATTTAGCAGATATCATGGCTTTGCATGGACATAGGCTTGGAGAAATTATAAGGAGCCTATTCTACAGGTCACTGTCACGTATAACAAAAGCCGGGATTGAGGTCCTGGACTTGCTGTAGTTTGGGTGACATCGAAAGCCTTGCTACCCATTCCCCAAAGCCCGGGTAGTAAAAATGAGGGGAGTGACCAAAGGCCAGGTCGGTGGCGATCACAAGTGATACTTCGCACGTGAGTCTCCCCAGGTGCTCCGCCTGCCCCAGGGTCCTCCCGGGTTCCGGGGGGGGGGGCTCCCTCTCAGGCGCTCGCCTCCCACCCCATCTCTGTGGCTTTCAGCTGCCCCCGCAGGAGAGCGAGTCCTGGCGGCAAACACCTGCCTCGCGGTGCTGAGCAGCCCGCAGCCCGCCCTCCCTGGGCCTCGGGTTGGCACTGATGGGCCCACTCCCGCGCGGCCTGCGGCCCCCGAGTTTACCTTTTTCCAGTCCACGTACAGGATCTCCGACGTGGGCAGGCCCACGCACTGGATGGCCTTGCGGAACTCCTCCAGCTGCTCGGGGCTGGCCCGCTCCGTGTCAGCTGCGGGGGAGCGGGGAGGGGGTCGGACCGGAGAAGAGGGAGAGGCTGCTGTGGAGGGCGGGGCAGGCGAGGGCG